TTCTCTTAAAATTGGGATTGTGAGCTTTTTTTCTAAGCTCATCCAAACTCCTTGACCATTTATATTTTGATCATTGTTTTCTAAGAGTCTGCATATCCTTTCAAGTTCTATTGCAAACTTTCTACAATCTTGAAAATTTTGGCACACAGCTAAATTTTCAAGTTGTGAATGTAGATTTCTCGTATAGTCTTCTTCATTGCCATACTTCTGTTTAAGTAATTCGATAGCTATATCGTAATCAGTTAATTTTAAGCCAGCTATTAACTGTTTTGCTTCTCCAATAACACACTGTTTGAGTACAGCATGTTTAACTTCATCGTTTCCTTCAGCTTCATGAACTGTAGCATTATAGATTTGCCACCATTCCGGCCAATCTATATGCTTTCCAGAGAATTTCGAGAGTTCTTGTCTCGGTGGTTTAAAGCTAAAACCAAACGACTTTTGGCCGTTGGTATTATTCATCGTCAGATTCTTCTCTTTCCTTTCTTCTCTTCTTTTAATTAATTTTAATTTCCTTTCTGATTCTTTTAATTTTCTAAGCCTTTTTCCAGCTTCATTTAATGTATCATCAATTTTATATAGATTAGTCGCTTCATCATAAGCCGCTTCATTTAGTGGTTTTTCAATTTGAGTACTTCTTTGTATTAGAGATGACCATTTATTATTTGCCTCTTTTAAATCATTATAGGCGTCCGTCATCTCTTCTATATCATTATTTAACAAATCCAGTGTTTCACAAACTTCTAATAGGTAGTCTGGATTTTCTTCTTCCTCCGGTTCTTTTGGAACCGGCTGATCCAAGATTATCTGTATACTTTCAGCCGCTCTTTTTGTAGCGGATTTTAAAGGCTTACTCATCTTTATTTTTATTAAATTTTTCTTTTTAATAAATTTTTATTTCAAAATTTATTTTTAATAAATTTTTCTTTTAAAATTTATTAACTTACAAATTTTTTCCAACAATTCTTAAACAATTTTTCCAATAATTTGACCAAATTTTCAATAATTTGAATTAAAGTAGCACAAAAACTTTTTTTTTTGTTGTTTCCACAATAATTCAAATCGTTGTTTCCACAATTAGAATTAATTAATTTCTTTTTAATTAATTCGATTAATTTCTTCTAAAATTAATTAATTTCTTTTTAATTAATTTTGATGAATTTTGTTGTTCGGTTGTCGTTTTAGGCTTGAGCCCCCATGTCAAAAGAAATAGGATTCTTGGTTTCTTTTGCTTTAAAATTTCTTCCTTTGAAATTTTAGTATAATTTCTTTTAATTAAAATTCCTCTTTTTGGAATTCTAATGTAAATTCGATTTAATTAAATTTTTAATTTTTATCCAACAAAATAAATTAATTTAAAGCTAAAACAATTTTAAAAAAATATTGGACGATTAAAAGTAAGAGAGAAGACTTTGATTTTTATTGTAAAAATATAAGAATGAACACCAAAAAGCTGTTTAGTGATTTATTTTATAACAGCAAAAAGGAGATGGAGTTTTTAGTGTAATAGCCATTTTTTATTATAAAATGGAAAGATGAAGAATAAATGGAAGAGGAACAATTTATGAGTAATTGAAACGATAAAAGGGAGCATTAGAAAAATGAATAATAAAATTAAAGATAAATGTTTAAATGTAAGGGGTTTTATGGGAAAATAAAATTTTTATAGATTTTTATCTTTAATTTACACTTTAATCTTCTTCGGTCTTTCGACGTTTTTTCTTCGACATGGCAATAGTCGAAACACCTTGAACAGTTAAGACATCTAGATTTACACGAAATTGCATGGTTCAATTTCCTATTATAAACGCTTTCACAAGATAAACAGTAGGGTTGACCGAATAAGTCACTAACCTTGCGGACACCATCAAAGTGTTCCTTATTATAATACAAAATTATAGGGATATCAAAATTATCAGGCCCGTATTTATAAATAGGTTTTCCCCCCAAATCCCCGAATATATAAACTTTAAACCATCCTCTGTTCACTGTATTCCATAAGTCAACCACCCGTGGGACCCATTCTTCAGCGCAGTACACCTCTTGATTAAATTCAGCTCCAATCTCTTCCATTAGCTCTAATACATCGTTTTCGAGAAGTTGTTTCATCCCCCTTCGACTATGGAGATAATCATAGAATTTCCATCTTGGCCAGGAAAATATTGCGTGAACAAAAGTAGCCATCAAAGCGTGGAAGAGACAGTAAGTATCAGTATTTCGTATTTTTATAAGGTTTTGTTCATTAATCCTATGATGAATTGTTTGTAGCTCTCTACCGCTACCATGCACGGTTCTAGAATTAAGTCCATCTCTTTGTATAGTTGTTATTGAAACAAGAAAAGGGGCCCCCCATAACATACCATTATCCTGTTTCTTACTCTGGGCAACCTTTAGGAATTGATTCAAAATTGAATCAATTGTGTTGGACGTGATTTCTCGAACCGGGATCCAAATGTCTGAGTCAAGGTTCTGACTCGAAATTATACACCCTAGCTGATCTGGTTCCATTTGTCGTTCATGATTTTCTAATAGAGATTGATCGATACAATACTCAAAAATCGAGCCTAGTAAACCTTCTGGATTATTGGAAACATTTGTGATTATGAATTTGGTTGATAACTTAAGAAGATTAAATTTTTGGGTAAACTTGGTCTCATGACCGAGTTTTTTAACATAGAAGTCAAGACTCTCAGTAGGGGTGATTTTAATTTTCTTGGGAGGGGTAGGTTGCATTTTTGAAAATAAAATTTAAAATGAAAAAATTAAATTTGATATAAGATATATGAAAGGAAATTTAATCAAAAATAAATGTTTGTTTTCAACAATAAAAATGAAATTTTAAGTTATAGCTAAATTAAATTTTCTATGAAGGCAGGCTATGGGTAAATAAGGTTATGAATGTGGTATTTGTAGGATTTGATCGTGAAGAAGCAGGCGTTGAACAGTAGAATGATATTTCAGGTCAAAAGAAGTCGCTTTTTATACTTCCGTTCTAGCTCCACCTATATTAGGTTATTCTCAAATTAAAACACAGTTGGATTTTTAGAGAAATTTCTTAACTAGGTTAAGATTTTTAATAATAACCTTGAAATTTTGACCTATTTATTGACTAATTTTATAATATTATATTCAACTAAATACATGAGTGAGTGATATTTTAATTAAGGGTCGAGAGGATAACACTATCACATATAGAGATTAACAATGTAGGCAAAGTGGGTTGGGTTGGATTAGATGAAGGAGATCAGGGACTAACCAGATAGTATGATCCAATTAGACTAACACTCACTGGTTTTTATACTATCTTAAGTTTGCATGACTAAATACTAAACACACCAGATAGCATTGGATTTTGCGTTTGTTCGAATTTTACTTAGAAAAGGAATATAAAGATGATAAAGAGATATTGAAATTATATATTTTATTTAAAAAAAAAGATTATTTAAAATAAGAATTTTTATATTTATCTTTTAATAACCAATTTTATTCTTTATTTATTTCATTGTTTTTTCATCATTTCTTAAACCTACGTATTTACATAATTCAAGGACTCCTTTTTTTCCTTCAAATTGAATACAATAGAAATTTCAGTTTTGTAGGTTAACTCTTTGAATAGAAAGATCTTTCGATATGTAATACAATAAAGATTCTGAGCCTATTGAAAATTTTGATTGGTTTTAGGTCAATCTTTGAATAAAAAATTTCTTCGATAGAAATTTTAATCCTCTAAAAATTTGAGTTTTTTAGGTCAATCTTTGCATAGAAAAATCTTAGAATAAAAATTTTAAATTTTAGGTTAAATTTGAATAAGAAAAATACAAAAGAAAAATTTCAAAGTTCCTTTTTTTTCACTCTCACACTGAAAAGAATCTTAATAATTGAAATTTTTAGGCTAATCCTTTCCATATAAAGAAGAATAGAAATAATGACCTCAAATGATTAAAAATAAGTTTTATAAAAATTTACATAATTGGATTAGTAAAATAAAATTTTTAAATCTAACCATAAGGAAAAGGAGTCGACGAAAAGTAAGGAAAATAAAGGGACTTAATTTTAAAATTATTTATCTCTTTATCTATCTCCCGACTGCCTACGCTATTGCCCTTTTTCTCTGCCTACGGATACGTTGGTTTCACTACTTTGACTTTATTTTCTTCAGAAATTTTTTTCCAATTTTTCAGACAAAATTCAACAAATTCTTCGGGGTCTCCTTTTAAAAATAAAGTTTGAAACCCTGATTTTATTTCAAATTTAAGACTCTAGCAACCCCAGATCGGTTGCATGGAAGCATGCGTCAATCAATTAACGTCCGATAATTTAATTTTTTTACCCGTTTACTCAGACTAGCAATAAATTCAATGATATTAACTTCCGTTAAATTTTGTGTGGAATTATTCCTATCTGCCAGTCATTTAGTGGATTTGGAGTATTTTTAATAGAAAAAAGATTTTTAATTTTCTAAAATTTATTTAAAAAAATTTTTTTTAATTCTGCCTCTAAAGGAGAATGAGAATTTTAACAATAAGTTTCACTCTCCTGTTTCTGTAATGGATTGGGAACCGTTTGCCTAATTTACGGTCTTCCATTACTTTCCCAATTTTTCCTCGTTTTTATTAGAGCTCGACGCGGGACGGGATCTCGCGCGGGATTTTGCGGGAGCCCCGCAATCCCGCACTTTTTTCGATTTGCGGGATTTATACCGCGGGATCCCGTCCCGCAAACATTTTTTAAAAAATTTTATCCCACGGGGTCCCGCAAACGCGATTTTGCAGACCCTTAGTTTTTATCTCCTCTTTCTCATCGATTATATTTTCTTATCTTCATCCACGTTTTTGTCTCCATATCCCATCCCCCCCCTCCCCTCAAATTTTCCCTCTATAAAAATTTAATTGTCTTCATCGCGTCTCTAATTGATTTTTCTTTTTGATTTTATAAATTTTTATTTTTTAGCTTCGGAAAAATTGGCTATTCGGCTTTGGCATTGCCCTTTTTTGACCCGATAAAATGTCTGTTGTCGAGAAAAAAACTTTGGATTACACTGTGGACTTTCCCAAACTTCCGGATGCTCCTTCAGCAACTTCAACAAGTTCTAGCGTCCCTTCTGGTGCTTGGACTGGCTCTGCTCAACCGGCAATAAAATCTTCTGTTGTAACCGAGGCGTTTAAATTAAGTGCTGAGGAACGTGCTTCTCATGGTGGAATTGGACGCCCTTTTGGTGGACCGGCTTCTGAGGAACAACAAAAATGCAATCAAATAGCGCAAAAAACTGGTTTGTTTATTTAGAATGTTTGGGGGGTTTTTAAGTAGGGAAATGGCGACCTAACCCGTGTAATTGGCAAGTTACATAGCAAAGACTTGTTGATGTCCTTTCTTTCAAATTATTTGGTTCTCGATAGACTAGTTAGTTTCCTTCATAGGAGTTGACTTTTCTGTGTTTCGGTCCTCGTAACTAACATGTTTAGGGCGTAGATGGTTTTTTGGTAAGCCCAGCAAATTATGATTTCAGCTGACAGTTTAGGAAAGCCGAGGCCTGATTTTTCAAGACTTTGGGCTTTCCAGGACTTGAGTTTCTATAACTTTCGACATCCTTTACTTGGTAGCTTCAGTTCTTCAAAGATTTTTACATTACACTAAAAAAATTAACTTTCCCCCCATTTTAGGCACCAAAATCGAACTCAACGAGGCAAAGGATCAGTCAATCACGATTTTGATAACTGGAAAACAAAAGAATGTTGAAGATGCCCGAACTCGTCTAGTTCGTGAACTTCAAACACAGGCAACCGTTCGGCTTGAAATTCCAAAGGAATATCACAGTTTTATTATTGGTTTATTTTTTTTAATATTAAATTTTCTAAAATTATTTTTCAGGCAAACAAGGCTCTAAATTACACCAACTTGAACAAAAATTCCTTTGCCGAATTCATATGCCCAATCGTGAAGAGAAAAGTGACGTTATTCGTATTGTTGGCCCAAACGAGTTTATTGTTGAAGCGGCAAAACAAATTAAGGCTATTGGAGATGAAATGGTTTAGTTTTTTTTTATTTACAAGGAGAGGTTGCGAGGCAAAAACGACTCAAAATCCTTACTAGAAAGGGCACATTCTCTATCGAATGATCCCGGTCTCGACCGTCTTTAGGCCGGACATCTCGCAACCTCTTAGTAGTAGTAGCAGTTTATTGTTTGTAGGAATTTCCGGTAGGCTTGTAATTCCTTTTTCTAAAAATTTTCTTCTTTGCTGACTTTTCAGCTATTCATAAAGTCTTTTTGAACTAAGGTTGGGGATCTTTGATAATCTTCGTGTCCACTTTCAAAAGCTAGGAACTCCGAATTCATTCCTTGATTTATTCCCGAATCTATTGTACTCAACTCTGTTGCTTATCTATTTAGTGTTAGCCTCCCTTTTAGATCTGTTGCCTTAAATCATACAACAGACGGTCACTGAAGTTGTTATTGTTTTCGTTATTTACATACATATTCCTTTTATTTTTGCTGTTTCGATAGTCACCATTAAGTCTCCAACTTTTCTACTTTTGTCATTATTTGAAAAAAATGTTCTCATTTTTAGGCAAAACAAAAGACCGAAAATCTGAATATTCCGCGTTCTTTTTACCCTTGGATTCGTGGAGTGAACAATGAAAAACGTTTGTGAATTTGAAATAAAATTAAATTTTAAATAACCTTTTTTTAGTTGATGATTTAATACATCGAACTGGTGTTAAAATAAATATCCCACCTCTCCAAGCGAATAATGAAACAATTATTATTAGTGGAGAACGTGAAGGTGTTGACGCGGCTGTTGCGGAAATTAATCATATTTACCAGGAGAAGGTTCGGAAATTATTTTTCTATCCAAAGGAATTTTATCTAAAAATTGAACAAAAGGGACTCATTTGGGACAGAATAAACCCAATCGCAAACTAAGACGAATCTGATCGGTATAACTTTTTTGTTCTTGATCCAATTCAAATAATTTTTATATCATTTTTAATAGATAACGCTTATAGAAGGCTTTCGAATGATATAAAAATCATCTGAATTGGGTCAAGCATCAAAAAGTTATAGCCGATCAAAATCTCAATTTGCGGTCTTATAACGGAAGAGTACCTTTTTTTCTCATAGTATACTTCAATTTTGTAATATAGCCTTTGGAACGTTACTTTTTCATTATTCCATAGTGGGGCTTTAGTTTAATACGTGGCTCTAATTCGGCGAATAGAGTCTATTCTTTTAACTACCCTTAAGAGTCTAGTTAGTGAAATGTTGGAATTTTCATTAATTTTCACTTAATTTTTAATTTAAATTTTGTAGAAAGAATCTGTCGTCTCTTTCGAGATTACTGTCAAAAAGGCTCAGCATAGGTTCATTATTGGTCGTAAACGTACAGGTTTAGATGAAATATTTCGAGAAACTGAAACCATTGTTGAAATGCCATCAGAGGAAAATGATTCTAACAAAATTGTTTTGCGAGGGCCAAAAGATAAAATTGGAGATGCGGCTGGAGCGGGTTTGTTCTAGTTTAAATTTAATTTCTTAAAATGTTGAGGGAAATTTTTTGAGTGTTGCGAAAATGCTTTTTTGTCCTAAAAATTTTTTGCGATTCATAAAATACGCAGGTTACAGCCAGGGGTGGGCGCAAGAGACAATCTCAAAAAACGCAAAACGCAACGCAAGGCCAAAATTTAACGCAAATAACGCAAGAACGCAAAATTGGGAAAAAAAATTTTGAAATTAAGTATTACTTCAATTTTTAACTGAAAAATGGCTATTACTATAAGTCAGCGAGTCCTACTCGATTTTGTGCTACTTTAAGTTGGATGGGTAATGATCTGTAGAGATATCGGTGATACAAAGGATTATGAAGGATATCAGAGGATTTGGAGGGATCAAGGGGGTTTACCGAAGTAGCGTGGGATTACGGAGATTATCATGTAATTTGGAGGGGTTAAGGAGATTTAAAAAGATACTATGGGATTGCCCCAGATGTCGAGTGAGTTGGAGAGATAGCTGAGAATAAAGGGAAAAAAAATTGAATTGTTATAAAAAAATTGTTATAAAAATTGTTAAAAAAATTGTTATAAATTGATACCGGGGATATCAGGAGATTTGGAGTTGATTTGAATGTCTCTTAATTTCTTAATCTCTAGATATCTTTATCATATCACTTAGTTTTTTTAATTCTCACAATCCATTAATATTTTCTCAAATTGATGGATTCCTAGATATCACTACAAATCCCCGATATCTATTTAAACCCACCATAATCCCAGTAATTCGACCAATATTCTTCTATTTCTTCAGATCAACTGATCTTTCCCTTAGTTCTACTTGATCCTACTTACTTTTTTAGCGCCGCAGGCGAAAATTTTGAGAATTTTGGTAATCCAAGCAGCCAGATTTCTTCTTTTTTTAGCGCCGTAGGCGAAAATTTTCAAAATTTTGGAAGGCCAAGAAGCCAAATTTCTCCAATTTTGTCCTCAGATTGTGTATATTTTTTGCGTTAATTTCATCGAAATTAACGCAAAACGCAAAAAAAGGCCAAAATTTAACGCTAATAACGCAAAACGCAATGCGCCCACCCCTAGTTACAGCCCAAAAATACGCGCGGCCATAACAACTAGAGCTAGGAATTTTGAAAAAACCGGGACCGGGTAACGGGTTCTGAAAAATGGACCGGCCGGGTTCCGGGTCGTGAAAACGGGAAACCCCGTACCCGGTTTCAACCCGGTATCTTTAAAAAACCCGGGAAAACGGACCCGGGAAACGGTTCCGGGTCCCGATCCCGTTCCTAGCTCTAATAACAACGCAAATATCAATTTTGGTACCATCTTTTTAGCACGATGAGAGAAATCGTTTAATACTAAATTTAGAAAGAACGGAAAACTTGAAGTAAGTTATGGCTTCGCGTTGTTTTTTGCGATGTATAAAATACACAGAATGAGTTCCAAACCCAAAAATCAACTTAATAATTATGCACGATTCATAAATTTTATTCTAATTTTTTTAGTTTACCAACGTGCTAGTAGTATTATTGCAGCAGAGGTTCCTTTCCAAGAATGGATGCGTCGTCATTTAATTGGCCCTCGGGGGGCTAATCTTCATGTTTATTTTTAAATATTTTTTAACGACCTAATTTGAATTTTTTAAGAATTTGGTTCCTCATCAAGAAAATTTGCGTCTAGACTTTGAAGAAGGTTTAATTTATATTGAAGGTCCACCAGAAGAAGTTTTGCAAGCAAAACAGAAATTATCTAAGGAAATTACTCGTCTTGGAAATGAATTTTGTTCTGAAGTAATGCATGTTGCTCCAAGTTTGCATAGGCATATAATTGGAAAAAGTGGATCTGTTGGTTTGTTTTTTTTTCTTTATAAGAAATTGTTTTGTGGTATTTTTAGTCTTTTAGAAAGATTGTACAAAATACACGCTGTGCTTACTTAAAAATTGTTCGCGTTTTGCGTTAGAAAAGATAATGGAAAAATAGGAGAGAAAACCGCGCGCGATTTTGCCTTTCATGATTTTGAATGCTATTTTCTGTCGTAAAACGCAAAACAACTTTTAAGTAAGCACAGCATTAAACCCAAGCATAAGATTTAATTAAAAATAACACTCACGAATTTTGAGTGAAATTTTACAATTTTCTTTAAACATTACAAAATTTTTAGCTTGTTTTGTTATTAGTCCCAAATCTAAAAGTTATATAGATTCAAGATTTAAGTCCTGCTAATTGTAAATTCCTTCTTACATAACTTTAATTTTTGGAGTAATATCTTCTTTTTATGCCAGGATGGCTTGACAATGTTTTTGTCCTTCCTTTTTTTTAAATTTTTGTTCAATTAAATTTATTTTTAGTGAACAAACTAAAAGAAGATTTTGACGTCCAAATTTTTGTGCCCAATGAAAGTTTAAAATCTGACTTAATTCGGTTAGAAGGCAAAAAAGAAAATGTTGAAAAAGTGCGTGAACAAATCGCTGATCTTGTTGATAAACAACAAAAGCGTCAACAGCCGCCGCAAACTTTAAATAATAATATTCAAAATAATAATACTCAAAATGGTGTCAAATCTAAAATGGAGCAACCAACGGTTTTTTTTTAAATTTTTGGGTAAATGTAAGGAAATTCGGTAGAGCTCCGTCATATCCCCCATACTCCGATTCAAACGTTATGTCATTCGAAAGAGCTCGGTGAGCAGAGTCGAATGACGCCGAGAGTTTATGTGAAATAACCAAAACACACAGCAAAAAGCTCCGCAACTCATCTATGGGCCGAGATACAGGCCCCTAAAAATCAAAAACCATGGAGGAACCTCGAAACACATTATCCATATCGAAATATTGTGTAAGGTGGGATTTTCCCGTAAATTCGATAGGGTCTTAATTTGCTCTTTGGAGAAAGGGAGAAGTAAAAAATTTTAAATACCCAAATTTTAGGATGTCGAAGTCAGAGAGCAACTCGAGGTTGACCCTAAACATCATCGACACTTCATTGTTCGTGGTGCTGAAGTACTTCGTGATATTCAATCCCAATGTGGAAATTGTCAAATATCGTTCCCAAAACAAGAAACCGGTGAATCGACAGTTATTATTCGAGGTTTTAAAGAAAATGTTGAGAATGCTAAAAAACGAATTTTGGCAATTGTTGAAGATTTGGTTAGTTTTTGAAAATTAGTTGCTATTTTACCTCAAATATGCGGGATAGGTTTGTTGGGGTTAACATAATCTAGTAAGATGTAAAAGCATAAGCATCAATTTGACAACAACGGGCCCGAACTCTTACATTTGGATGTTTTTTGAATTAAACTTTCTCTTGGGTCTATTTCAGGGAACGAGCCGTCCCGATTCCCAAAAATCGGGAATTTTATTTTTATGTTGGCTTGTTCATTCGATTTTTTAAAATTTCGAACAGTTTACGCATTGACATAATCAAGTGTATCTTTATATATTCCTCCTTTCTAATTTGAACTTTTCCTTTCTGTTTCAATTCTAGTTTAGTTACTTTTGCTATGTTTTATGGTAAAAATCTTAAAACTTTAAGGAGGCATATACAACCACTCAACTCGATGTCGACCCTAAACATCATCGTCACTTCATTCTTCGCGGGGCAGAAGTACTTCGTGATATTCAATCCAATTGTGGCAATATCCAAATTTCGTTCCCAAAGCAAGAGACTGGTGAATCGACAGTTGTTTTACGTGGACATAAAGACCATGTTGAGGCTGCGAAGAAGCGTATTTTGGCAATTGTTGAAGAATTGGTAATTTTTTAGAGATTTTAAAGGGGGTTGTGGTGTTTGTTTCTTGTCTAAGTCTGTATTTTAAACTCTGAATTGTCCATTAATAGTTATGTTGCAATGGAAGAATCAAAGCTGTTTAAGTCGCAAACGCAGTTCCCTCCTAGGGTCTTTCCGAAAATTTTTGAATGAAGTGGATTTCTTGTTTTTTAAATAAAATTTTTAAAGGACTCTTTGGTTCAAGAACAACTTGAAGTTGACCCTAAACACCATCGTCACTTTATTCTTCGTAGCGCTAAAGTTCTTCGCGATATTCAAAATAAATGTGGCAATATCCAAATATCTTTTCCAAAGCAAGAGACCGGTGAATCGACTGTTGTTTTACGTGGACATAAAGATCATGTTGAGGCTGCAAAGAAGCGTATTTTGGCAATTGTTGAGGAATTGGTAAAAATTTTTTTAATAAAGCAGGAACCATTACAGTCTAAATTCTGTTGCCTATTAGATGACTTCTGATACAGTTAAAAGTGTTAGGATCGACTTTGTCCTGAAAATAAATTTTTGAAAAGTTTTACTTGATTTTACAGTGAGAACGATATCTGGGGTGTTTCCCCTCGACCGAATTAGCTAGTTAAAATTTTTTTAATTTTAAAGGATTCATTGGTTCAAGAAGAACTTGATATTGACCCAAAACACCATCGTCACTTTATCTCTCGTGGAGCCAAAGTTCTTCGCGAGATTCAAACTGCATGTGGAAACTGCCAAATATCTTTCCCAAAACAAGACAGTGTTGAAGCGTTGGTTATCCTTCGAGGCAAAAAAGATCATGTTGAGGCTGCAAAAGAGAAAATATTTGCGATTATCGAAGAATTGGTTAGTTTACAAAAAAGTTTTCTCTACATAAGCAGGCCCGTAGCCAGGGGGGGGGGTAGGGGGAACTTCTAAACGGCCTTCTTCCTACGGCCTTCTAAAATTCTTAAAATTTTCGTCTGCGGCGCTGAAAATAAAAATTTTTGGCGCCTTCGTCGCCAAAAATTTTCCAAAAATTATTGAACGAAGGAAACAGACAAAATTTCTTTGGTTTCCCCTTCAACCAAAAATCATAAAACGTTAGCTTTCTTGTTCAAAAATGTTTTTAACCCCTCGTTCGATTATTAAACAACAGTTTCTTATTTCAGTTAATTTTTTCTCTTTTATTTTCAGGACTTCCTTAGCGAATTTGTTATTCGTTCCCAGCAACATACTCGTCGTGAACCTTCACCACCACCTTCAAAACAGGATAACCAAAATGTTGAGATAACTGGAGCTCCGTGGCAACTTGACTCTCTTGAACAATTTCCAACTATTGGGAATGGTCCTGCACCAACATCAACCGTTCAAAAGCCAGTAGCACCGCTTGGAGGGCAGGCTTGTTGGGGTAAACAACGTTAAAAGAAGAAAAGGAAAAAATTAATTTTTTTTTTTAAAAAAGAGGGAAGGGAAAAATCTTAAAAAAATTTTTTTGGTAAAAAAATGTGGGGATTTTTTTATTGTTGGGAGTGTGAGGGACTGATATATATTTGGTAACTTGTTTTTTATTTAAATTAATTAATTGTGTGTGTTTGTTTTTTTTCTGTGTATTTTCGTGAGTTAATTATTTTTGTTAATTAATATAAAAATTAATTAAGAATTTTGGAATTTTTTTGGCATTTTGTTTTTTTATTGGAAATTTGGAAAATGAATAATTAAAAAAAATTTGATAAAAAAATACACACAAAAATTTCTTTGTTTTCCCCCTATAAACTAAACTAAATAATATATAATCTAAACAAAAAAAACATATTGACCACCTTTCCTATCCAGTCAATCTTAATATATAAATTCTCTTTTAACTAAAGAATTAATAAATGTATTATTTCCTTGTTTTCCATAAATATATTTTATTTAAATATTTTGTGCCTTCTTAAGAAAAAAATGATTTATTTGTGAGGATATGGTAAAAAATTAAAAAAAATTTGTTTTGGCGAAATGTTTATTTTTATAAAATTGAAGGGTTAAAGGACACAGGCTTGAAAATAATTAGTAAAATTCACTTACTACCTTCCTTTCTATCCCTATCTTGGAAATTTGGGCACCTTAACTTTAAGCTAATCCTTCTTAATTCTAAGACCCCTCCTACCCGTTTCCATATTTTTATTTATAAAGTTCCAAAAAATCTTCAAATTACTCCACAAACTTCAAAGAATGTCATAAACAAATTAATTTCTATAATTCTTAATCACAAACTTCTTTATTTTAAATACACTTCCTTTTTTTCGATACATATTAAATATTATATTTTTTAAATAAAAAGTGTTGATAAAATGTTTGTAAAAATTTGTTTTGTTTTTATTAACAAGGAAAGGTTACGAGGTGTCCGACTTAAAAACGGCCGAGACTGGGCTCATTCGATAGAGAATGTGCCCTTTCTAGCAAGGATTTTGAGCCGCTTTTGCCCTTTTTTTGATCTTGCCAAGATATGGCCCTCCAAAGTCCCAAAATTTGGCATACTTTTTCCCCTCAAAATATAAACTTTAAATAATGCGTTAATTTTGTTGGCGTTTTTTTTAAATTAAAAACCTCTTTCATAATTTTGTTTTTATTTTCTAAATTAAAAATTGAAAATAAAAAATAAGGGAAAATTAAGATATAAATATTTCCTTTCTTATCTGACTGGCAATCTTTTTTTATAAAAAGAAGAAAAATAAGATTAAGTGGTTGTATTTAATTTTGGTTTTCAAAATTTATTCTTTTTTTATTAATGTCAACCCCAAAAATCTTTTTAAAATGCATATTGGTTTTGTTTAATTTTTGAAAGAGAAAGAAAGCCTTTTGTGTAGGCCAAGAAAGCTGATTGTTAGTGTAGTTTTCTAAAGGCTTTTCAAAAGGCTTTCTCTTTTACCCATTTTTTAAATCTAAAGAAAATATTGTCGGGATCCAGTGCAGAAATAATAATAATCTCAAGAGGTCCACCAATCGGCAAATTATCTAAAGGTACTGATTCAAATTGTTAGTGCGCAAGGCGCCGACTTATAGAATTTCACAGTATCTCTCCAGAAACCTAAAATTTAGTGAGGAACTCACCAATAGTGTTAACTAACAATTCTGAAAATTTCAGAATTTTTGGTTAAATATTTCAGAATCTATAAGGAAAAAGATGAGAAAAATGTGCCCTTTCCGCCTAAAATTCTGTTTAGCTATAAATTCTGAAATTTCGAACCAAAAGTTCTGAAATTTTTAGAGATGTTAGTTAACATTGTTGAGGATATCTTTGTAAAACTTTAGGTCTCTTGAATTTTTTTTAAACATTTTATGAACCTTCTCCCACCCAACCATATACGCCCAAAAGCCGTTCCTTTCTTATTCTTTCCCATAAAATTATTTAGCCAGCTATATTTCCCTCATTTTTCAATAAAATTAATGTTCATTATTTAAATATTTAAAAAAAAATTAAAGAAAAATAGTAAAGAATATTTCCGTTTTTATAAATTGCGCATTTATTTGGAGGAGAATTGATGGTGGTAATATGTGTATGTATTTTGACATCTGTGAAAGAGTTAAAAATATTTATTGGAAATATTTTGGGGGTTTTAATAGTTATAGAGAGAAAGGAACATTAAATGGTATATTTTTAATTAAAAATATTTGGCCAAGGATTTGTTACTATTGTCTTGCTTATAATTGCCATTTTAACTTAAATTGGTCGTTGATTTTTTTTGGGACCAACCTTCCGCCGGAGCTATAACTCCGTTCAGAATTGTTGAATTCTGGACGACATGCTATGGTTTGATGCGCTTCGACGAGCTGAATCGAACCATACCAAGTCGTCCCGGATTCGACCATCTTGAACGAAGTCATAGCTTTGGGCTTTTTGTAAGTTGGGGGTGTAAAATTTTTGCCTATTTTCACTTACAAAAATTTTCTTTTTGTATTTTTGATACCTCTCTTGTCGTTTTTACCAAATATTTTTTTGGCCTTTCACTGGTCCAATGTTGATATCAGATGATCTGCTCGATTTTCTTTAACCTTATTTAATCTATTCAAAGTTTTAACCGAGAAAATGTTTAAATTCCAAATTAACTCTCTTTATTTTGACAGCCTTTTACTTTAAAAATCTATTTTTATCATTATTTATTTTCCAATCATTTCATGTTTAAAAAAATATATTTTTTTTATTAAAAAAATTAATCATCACTTTCTTCTTTCAATTTTCGAGAAATACATTAAAACATTAAATAAAAAATATTTTTTTTCTTAAATTTTGCTGCCGTAGGCAACCTCATTGGAGCATGAAAGAAATTTTAAAAAGAGAAAATATTTAAAGGGTTTACTCATTTTTGAACATTTTAAAATATTTTTAATGTTAAAAGCTTTTATTTTCATAAAAATTTGAGAATTTTTTTCGGATATTTAATCGTTAACACATTCAAAAAATACAAAAATTAAAAGGAGGTACATACTAGGGGTGTGCCGAAACAGATTTTAAAAAGCGAACGGCGAAACGCGAAAGGCGAAACACCAAAAGAACGCGAAAATGAAAAGCGGAACGCGAAGGCACACCCCTGTTACATACATAATAAATAATTTTTTTTTGGAAATGAATGAATAAATCTCGTTATAAAGTAAAAGCTTATACCTTCTATGTGAAGTACGCTTAATATAAGGAACGTTTTTTTACTCCAAGGGGGTCTCTATATTTAAAGCCCGATTGTAACTATTTTACAATTACTGTAAATGCTCTAACAGAACCACATGTGCTTCTATTTTTCGATCCTTTGTAGGGTGTGCTTCAAATAGGGAGTGTAGTCTATTAGAGCATTTACGGAATTTGTTTTTAAATTTCTGAGTTAAAAATAAAAATAATTTTCAGAAATTGTCAAAAAATATTTTTTTAACTAAATTTATAAATTAATTTAATAAATTAGTAAAACAAAAAAAGATATTTAAAGGAACACTAAATATTAACCCTAAATAACAAAAAAATATTATTTTTTTCTTTCTCTTTTTTCAAATAAAAATGTGTTTTTGCGCGAGATATCTACCCTTCCCCTCCTCTGATCTCGCACACAAAATACAACACTTTATTTTTTTCTAAGCAATTATTGTGTAAATAATGGATAAATAAATGGACTGAATTTTTTTTAGAAAAATAAAAGGAGAGAAGGTAGAGGGGGAAGGGGTGATGATTTTCTCTTTGATTTTTTTGTAAAAAGTTATTTTTATATTTTTTTATTTTTTAAATAATCACAGAATTTAAAAATTTTCATTATCTCTCTAAAAATTGAGTTAGGTAATTGAAATTAAATTTTATCGTGCCGAACCACGATAACAACGTGCCGAACCACGATCGTTTTAACTTAATTTACCTTTTTAAACATCATTTGAATGATTCCTTTCATGTTCGTTATGTAAAAATTAGAAAAAACTTTCTTCGGCCATAGTCACTTATCGAGGGTTTTCGAATGATATAAAATTAATCTGCATAGGATCAAGCATCAAAAAGTTATAACCGATCAAATTTGGTTGGCACTCAATTTGCGGTCGTATAACGGAAAAGCACTATTTTTTCAATATTTCTGACTAAGTCAGGCAATCTAAAGTTTTTATTTCTTAAATTTCTTTATTTATTCCTTCCTTTTTATTCACTTATAATTTAAACCTTTAAAATCTCTTTTCTACTTATTAAATTGCGCAACCTTGAAAAAATAAATCAGCTGAAAATGGATATATTTTAATACACACACACCTCTTTTCTATTCAAGTTTTTTTTTCACAGACTTCGGCCCGATAAAGGAAATCTAGCATTAAAACTTATTATTCATGAATTATTTTTTAGAAAATTTTGTATTTTTTCCTGTATTTTTTGTGTATTTCTTTGTATTTTTTCCTGTATTTTTGTGTGTTTTTCGTATTTTTTTTCTCACATACATAGTTCATTTTTCATAGTAAGATAAATAACATTTTCTAAATTTTTCTTTTATTTTAAATTTTTATTTATTTAATTCTTGAGAGGATTTAAAGTGTTTTACCTCAATCTTACTTTTATCCATAAATGGATACAAAATAAATCTTGAAAATTAAAAAACTCTTAGTTTTTTAGTATTTCTTTAAGTAAATTATTATTTGTATTTTTATGTATTTTACATATTTAATTTTTTCCGGAAATTATTATTTAAATTCCGGAAAGCTTGAAAACACAATTAAAACACAATTCTTTCCGGAATTTTGTATTTTCTGTATTTTATATACATGTTTATTGTATTTTCCAGAAACATGTATTTTCCGGAAAACGTTTATTAATGTATTTTCCGGAAACATTTATTTATTCTTTTATTTCATATATTTCCGGAAAGTTTATCTTTATTTAAATTTGATATTCTTCACTTCCTAAATTTATAATTTTATTTACAATTTTGTGTTTTTAATTACTAATATGTATTTTCCGGAAAGTTTACTATTTAATTTTTATTATTCACACACACATATATTTAATTCTAAACAATTAATTCCAACTTTATTTATTAATTCATCATTTTACCTAATTTTGTTTTTGTGTTTTCGTTTTGCATGAATGAATGAGTCAATTGCTCGAATTAAAAATACAACTTTTTATTTAAATTTTATTTAAATAAATACTTAAATTGAGGAAATTAAATGGGGAAATGTTAAAATATATTTTTTAATAATTTAACTATTTTTTCGAAAAAATTTTAAGTTTTTATTTACAAAATATTATTTTCCCTCTCCCCCTTTTTTTATTAATTTTTTGCGTATATAGAAATTAAGTACCTTTAATTTACAAAAATAACTTTTTTTTATTAATATTTACTTCCAAAATAAATTTGTAGTGGAAAAGGGAACGGAGTTTTGACGTGCAACTATAAATTTTTAATTTTATTATTAATTTTTACACTAAAAATATTAATTAATTAATAAAAAAATTCCAAAAAAATTATTCTTTTTTTAAAATTTAAACTTTAATTTTTAATCTTTTATATTCTTTTTTTTTTGAAAAAAATAATTTTTAGCCAATTTACTGGTCACTTTTATTTTCCTCCAATTTTTTGGCACTAAAAATTTTTATTTTAAAAAATTAGAAGCTTTTCACTCTCTTTGACTTTTTTACTCAATTTCGAGTCTGTTAATTTAGCTATCCCAAAGGAAATGTAAATTTTGTTTTTTAAAGAATTTTAATATTTAATTTTTATTCTTCTCCAAAATTTGTTAGTTTCGCAAAAATAAATAAATGTTAAATATTAAAGTTTTAAAAAATAAATTTTCTTGACTAAGGAGGCTTATTTCTAGCTAGATTTTAGACAATAAAATCTCTAAATCCCATTTTTTTTAATCTCTAAATCCCATTTATTATTTTTTTCTAAATCCCATTTTTATCTCTAAATCCCGATTCAGTTACAGGCCGGCTAGCATTTTCGGTTCGAAAAGAATCAGAGATCTTATTGAGTCGGACTATTCGATTCAGTTATAGGCCGGCTCGTAACTGAATCGAATAGTCCGACTCAATAAGATCTCTGATTCTTTTCGAACCGAAAATGCTAGTCATAAACCTAATAGAACTAGCAATCTTGAGTTTCCACTATATTCTCTACTAGTTTTTGGCAGAAAATTTTACTGGTGTTCGATATTTTTTTATTTTACCAATTTAGTACCTTATCAATAGACCTAGCGAAAATCCTTTTTGTTACATAGTTCCTTGGTATACAACAGGGCTTTAGCCGACCCGATCCCCGATTTCCGAAAATCAAGAATTGGATTTTTGTCGTGAATCCCGATTCCCAAAAATCGGGAATTGAATTTTTATGTCAGCTAGATCCCTGGAATACAATGCCGAACACTGTTTAGGTACCGATACAAGAGATAAAGTGTTTACAAAATAAGAAACAAAAAAACTAATCTCTGCAAGGTTAATCCATTCTTCTGTCTAAACAATGCGTTTTTTATTAAATCAATTCTTTTAATTAGCTCAGTTATATACAGACAACAATACCACCCTCCCTCCTTCTTAATAAAATACTAATAAATTTTGCCAACTTTTTAATTTTATTATATTTTTATTTGTTTTTCTCCCAAAACTTTTCTTAAATACATATTTCCCTCCCTTTTCTCTCCCTTTCTCTCAATTCTTTTCCTTTTCAATCACAAAAACTTTTATAAAATCTTAAACAATTGTTCTCTTTCCATTTATTTTCTTTTGATTAATTTCTTTTATTTTTACAAGTTTTGCTTAAAATTAAAGAAGAAAAAAACGATCTTGAATCTTTTTTAATTAATTCTCTTAATAAAATTAGGAATTTATTTGCAAAAAATAATGAAAAGGATTTTTATTATGAGAGAGTTTTGAAGTTTAATTTTTTAATTATTATGCCTAAAATTCGTAAATAAAGGTATACATACTTTTCCGATATATGACCGCACGTTATATTCCGTTTTACGACCTCAATTTTGATCGGCTTTAACTTTAATGCCTGATCCAATACAAATGAATTTTATGGCATTTGAAAGCCCTCGATAACCTGTATATTTTTTTAATACAATGAATCAAATTTTTCACCTTTATCGAGTTATAACTTTTTAAGGGGTGATCAGACCTGACCCAACAAGTTGGAAAAAAGATATCTCTTATCTAGGGCTTTCGAAGATATAAAATTCATTTGTATAGGATCAAGCATAAAAAAGTTATAACCGATAAAATTGGGTTGACACTCAGTTTGTAGAAGTACCTTTGTAAAATTCGCCAAAATATTTAATGCCAAGTTTGAAATCTGGCCAAACAGAGGTTCCCTTTATTAATTAACCCAAAACCCGGTTACTCTGCAAATTCTGATTTTTAAAAATTATTAGCTCGGAAAACTCAAATATTATATTTCAAAGATCCAAACACCCCTCCATATATTCTTTTCAAAATATTTTTAAAACTCCAAAATCTTTAATTATTTTTATTTATTTATGTCTATAAGGAAATATTTATTTATTTGACTCAAACAACAGTTGTTGTTTTTTCTTTAAATTTTAGGCCACAAGCGGAGGCGGATTTGTATAGAAGAAAGAGAGAGAATTGAGTGGGGGAACATTAATAGAGAGTAAATACCTACTACAACTAATATTTATCCCTCTTTCCCTTCTGCTGAATTTAGAAGTCTAATCGTTTACAAAAAGTTAAAGTTGCCTTCTGGTCCAAACAAAATATTTTTATTTATTTTTTTACCTTCCAAAATATTTGATTTAACTTTGGTTGGTTCTCTTTCTTAAAAATTAAAATTTTAGGGAAAAAAGATCAATTGTTGACATTGATTTTAGTTAAAGACTTTAATCAAAACGAGATAAGGAAAGAATTCTTAAAAACACCTAGTTTCTGATTAAAGTCTAGAAAAAAATTAAAATTAAATTCAAAATTTTAAACCCTTCCCTTAGCCTCTGTACTCTTCAACTTTCAAATTGCCCTTAAATTCAATCCTTTTAACGTTGTTGATTTTATTAGGAGTCCTAATCTAGGTCCACATTAATGCAAGGAACTTTACAAATGAACACTAATTCCTCTGATACTTTTATGTTGTTTTTTTACATTAGCCCCTTTATCTGGGCTGCACGCAATTGGAAATAAAATTCCGCAACTCTCAATTGCGTGCAGCCCTGCCCTTTTATCCTTTTTGCTTTTAAAATGACCAACGAATTGTAATTAATAAAAAAACTAAAAAAGATTAGAAGGACCTTTTTTTAATATTGAGTAAAAGAACTCTTTAATCCACTACATTAATATACCTAATTACATATTTTTTTTATATTTTTCTGTTCGCCTCTTTTTTCTTTTCTTCTTTCCCCTCTGGCGATGTAGTTTAATATTTGTAAAACATGATGGATGTAGTATGGGGGTTAAAATTTTTTTACTTTTAACTTATTTTTTCAGTTTATTATTAATTTTTTAGTATTTTTATGCGGTTTTTGTCTCCTTTAATTTCAAATACGAAATCTGTTAGCCGTTAAGTTAATGGAATTATTCCTAGTTTTGGCAGGATTGATAAATGATAAAATGAGTGTTTAAAAGGGAGTTTTTTTAGTTTAGGCTAATTCAGTTTAGGCTAATTCCGGTTCTAGTTTTCATATCGTTTATGATCCCTTGATTAGGTTTGTAAATTTTTCCGAAATATTTAATTCAAATTTTAAAATTTCGATCCGTAAAAAGATTTTTTCGTAGCAATTTGCACGCTAAAGATAGACTTTTAGTATACTAAATTTCACTTATAAAGTTAAAATTAAGCTTAAAAAATTTCTCTTAATTTATATCATCCCTCCATTCTTCCTTAAAAAACTGCTAATTTTTCCTCTTTCAAAAAACAACAAAAATCTCTCCCTCTCTCTCTACCTATTTCCGTTTTGTTAAAATCAATCACAAAAATAACTTTCAAAAAACATTTTCTTCTTCTGGCCTAGATTTGATTCATTTCTTCTTTTGTTTTTTTAAACACATGTTGGAGGAGGGGGGGGGGGTGGGGGGGGGGTGAATGACAGAAGAAAGAAAGAGCTATTTTCTCTTTTTTTCCTTTTACTTAATTTCGATCCGTAAAAAAATTTTTTTGCCCGTGGGCACCGACTAGTTTATTACTTTATTTTTGCTTCTATTCAAGTCAATTTTGTTGATTTTTTTAAAAATCTCTTTTTGCAGATAAATCAGTGGATTTTTGTGTTTTTGATGTCTTTTCTGTTTTTTTTCTTATTTGTATTTTTGTGTGTTTTTGTGTTTTTTTTTGTATTTTTCCCTTATAATTTGCTTTAAATTTTAATTATTCCGGAAAACACATAGTATGTATTTATTGTTTTTATTTTGTATTTTATCATTTCCGGATTTATTTACTTCCGGAAAGTTTACTCATCTAATATGTATTTCTGTATTTTTATTTTGTATTTTTTTTCTGTATTTTTAATATTTTAATTATTTTTAATAGATAGTCGGCTTTAAAAAAATGCCGCAGCCTCCCCATTCATTAAATATTATCAGGAGGCCTTTAAATATTTTATTTTCACTGCCAACAAAATTTATTTTAATTTTATTCACTTTATTTATTGGAATTGAAGGATTTAATGTTGACACTAAAAATGCTCAAATACATAGACGTCCAAATACTGGATTTGGATATACTGTAGATTTTGCTTATAGAGACTCTAGAAATAGAAAATTAACGTAAATTTTAAAGATTGGTAATCATGTAGAATTGGGGATACACTTTTAAAATCCTTAAAAATCATTATTTTTTTCTGAAAATCATTTTATATAGGTAATCGACTATGCTGATCACGAATCTGATATCAGATTTTGTCATATATGACATTTTATCTATGATTTTTTATCAAGTACTTGATTTTCAGCTAAGATTCTGCTAGTCATAACTTTGTTCAGAATCATTCAATCGAGCTCATTTTGGTGTCATTCAACTCAGCTCGTCGAGCCCTTTCAAATGAGCTATTACTTGCATTTTTGATTTTTTGACCCCAAAAATTTTCAAATTCCAGGGGTCTATAACTCTGCCATATGAAGTCGGATTTGGTTGATTTTGGTGTCGTTCGACTTAGCTCGAGGAGCTCTTTCGAAAGAGCTATAATTTGTATAATCGAATTTTTTACCCTAAATCGACCTTACTCCCCCTTACGGTTTTTCGATTTTCGGGGGCCTATATCTCTACGAGTTTTTGTCTCCGGCAAAAAATTCTTTCATATCTGAACTCATCATAGTCGATTACCTATCTAAAATGATTTTCAGAAAAAAATAATGATTTTTAAGGATTTTAAAAGTGTATCCCCAATTCTACATGATTACCAAAAGATTAATTAAAGGTCTTTATAATTAAAATTTAAAAATATTTTAAAATAAAGTCGGACCTCACATATTTGTAGAAGATTACATTAATTATGTAAATTTTTATGAATTTGATTGATCGTTGGGTGAGGGGACTGATTAAATGATACATTCACTTATGTGTTGATTTTTTTCAGTCCCAAAGTATATACTATTTACTCAATTAAGTACCCTTCATCGAATATCTTTTCCAGCATCGGAAAAATAATTACACAGGATAATTAAATTAATTAAAGCAAAGACCGACTTTAATTTACCCAATAATCATTTCTCCTTTAAGACTGCTAGTAGGTGCCCCATTTGCCCAAACCTCACAACGTCGGCTTCAAAACACTGGCGCTGTTTATGGTTGCGAAGTAGATACTAATTTATGTGTAGAAATATTTTTTGACCAAAAAGGTGAATTTTAAATTAAAAGAATATTTTGTAAAATTATTTTAAAATAAAATTTAAATTATTGAAGTTAAGTTAAAGAATTTTTATTATTGTTTTTATGTTAGAATAACATTTTAGTACAAACTTGAAAGCATAATTAATTTAAAAAATTAAATAATAAACAATCACAATTTGTAAAAATATTAGCATTTTTTACAAATCAAGCTTTCTTGTAACTAAAAACTTTTTCAAGTTTAAAATTATTTTACAAACTTGAATTGGTAAACTTGAAGCAACTTATAGTTATTTTACAAATTAATTTAAGAAATTAAAATTTTTTTAAATTCATTTTTTATCAAAAAGGAAATGAGCTCAGGCTTAACGGCACTTCTCTTTTACCAATAGAAGAAAAATCACACCAAATGTTTGGAGCAACTATAGTTGCTTCTAAAAATGGAGATAATGTTTTGGTATGTTTTTTTTTTAAAAATAAAACTTATTTTTACAATTTGTAAAATAATTACAATTCAAGTTTTATTTTTACAATTTAATTAAAACTTTTTTACAATTTGTAAAATAATTACAATTTAAGTTTTATTTTCACAATTTAATTAAAACTTTTTTACAATTTGTAAAATAATTACAATTAAAATTTTATTTTTACAATTTTAATTAAAACTTTTTCACAATTTGTAAAATAATTACAATTCAAGTTTTATTTTTACAATTTTTAATTAAAACTTCTTTACAATTTGTAAAATAAAAATTAATTCTCCATTTAAAGGCCTGTGCTCCCCACTACAAATATTTCTTTGCCAAATTCGATGTTGTAGAGCCTGTAGGAAGTTGTTATTATTCTCGGGATTATTTTAGTAAAATTCAAGAATTTGCTCCTTGTAGACAAGAACGTAAATAGATAATTTTAAAAATATTTAAAAAATTTCTTTAGCCGCCCGTCACGGCCACCACCGTTTAGGTTATGGAATGTGTGGATTTAGTGCTGCTGTCCCCGATTTTGGGAATGAGCGACTATTTATTTCTGCACCGGGTGCTTGGTATTGGCAGGTAGTGAATATGATACTTATATCTTGAATTTATAAATTTTTTTTAAAAAAGAATAAAATAATTAAATTCAAAAATTAATAATTTATTAATAATAATTTTAAAAAATTAGAAAAATTTTAGTTAAATATTTTTAATATTTTTATAAAAATAATAATTTAAAAATTAAATTTTTATTATCATTTAGGGATCTGTATTCTCTCAAAATATTCATAACATAACAGACAGGCCAAATACCGCGGATGGACCTGCGTATACTGACAATCAAGAGCTTGGTCTAAAATTTTAATATTTAAAATTAAAATAATTTATTTTAACTAAAGAAAATATATTTTTTAGGTTATTCAACAGCAACAGGGGACTTTGATGGTGACAAACTTGATGATATTGTTGTTGGAGTACCTAGAGGGAATGAATTAATTGGAATGGTTAATTAACTATTTTAGAAAATATTTAAATATTTTAAAGGTCTCAATCTACTCAAGACAACTCAAACCAATTGCTAATTTAACAGAAAAAGATGGGCAACGTGGACAATACTTTGGGGCGTCTGTGGCAGTTTTAGATTTTAATAATGATGGACTTGCGGTAATATGATTAATGGAAACTTGAAACAATTACAAACTTAAAAACTTAAATAAACTTAATAAACTTGAATTTTGAAGGTTGAATTTCTTAGAACTTGAGCTTAAACTTGATTTTCAAGTTTATTTAAATTTTTAAGATTGTAATTGTTTGAAGGATACTTTAGAAAGTTTACAATCTATAAATAATTAAACCTGAATACTGTGAACTTGAAACTTGCTTCCAGTTTTAATAAAAGTTTTAGATGCATTAAGAAACATTTTACAAACTTAAGTTTTTAAGTAAATAATTTTTAATTACAACAAGGCTCGCATCGACAAAATGCCACTCAAAAGTATCAAAATCTCGATTAAAAAGTATATAGGGAGAAAATTTGCAAAAAAAAAAGTAGTCTCAAAATTAAATTAGAAAATATTTATTCGTCCTCAAATCTTTCATATTTTTCTCCTAAATGAATCTTTTCTAATAATTTCTTGTTTCAACTAAGCATTTTATCAATTTCAATGCATCTTTTTTTGGGGCCGAAGGCGCCAAAAAATCTATTTTTTGCGCCGCAGGCGAAAATTTTGAGAATTTTGGAGGCCGTAAGCCAGAAAATTCACTTTTTCGCCCAATCCCTTCCCCAATTTCATTTTCAATCAAAAAAAGTATATACTTTCAAAAAAGTATAAATTCAATTTCGTAAGCATGGAGGTCGATTTAAAAGTAGAATACTTTTAAAAAAGTAGGAATGCGAGCCCTGAATTACAATCATAAATTTTTTTACAAACTTGCTTTAATAAATAAGTACACTTGAATCCTTAGAATATTATAACTTTTATCTTGCAAATATTTTATAATTTTGTATATTGAAAATTGAAGCAGTTTCTAGCTTTTAGCTAATCTAAACTTTAAAAATTAAAAATTAAATAAAGTATCGTCCAAGTTTTTAATTTTTTCACTCTTAACAGGATATAGTTGTTGGTTCACCTCTCTATATTAACTGGGCAAACGTTGATGGAAAGACTCAGGAACGAAAGCCTCAATATGATGTTAATTAAGATTATATTTAAAAAATTAATTAATTTTTTAAGATTGGAAAAATTAGTGTTTATATTCAAACGGGGACTGGCACATTTAGAGAACCTGTTATTATTTTGGGTCATGAGCAGTGGAGCCGTTTTGGTTATTCTTTGGCGGCTGCAGGGGATTTAAATGGTGATGGATTTCAAGGTGGGATAATTTAAAGAATAATTGCAGTTAAATATAATAATTTTCTCATAGATTTACTTGTCGGTGCGCCTTATGATGGAGAGGATGGGCGTGGGTAAATATTAAAATTTACATATTAAAAGAACTTTCCGGAAGGGAAGAGAATAATTTTACAGAATATCAGAAACACAAGTTTCCGGAAAAATACATTTTTCCGGAAAACACAGAAAATACTTCAAAATAAACTTACCGGAAGCCTTACAGGAATAACTTAAACTTAAGTTTGTAAACCGTGGCGCGAACTTTGCGGACACGAAATTTGCGGAAACGAAATTTGCGGAACGAAAGTTGCGGACCCGAAGGTTGTGGACACGAAGTTTACGGACCTGATTTTTGCGGAACCAAGATTCTCTACAAAATACATCATTCCTGAAACTGATAGACTTTATGAAAATTACAGCAAAAGCAATATAAAATTCCTACTTTCCGGAAACTTTAAACGAAAATACAAATATAATTAAAAATAAGCTCTCCTTAAAATAATTAAATTCTCACAGTATTGTCTACATATTTCATGGTTCTTCAGAAGGAATTAGAGAAAAATATACACAAAAAATTCTGGCTAGAGATGTTCACCGAGATATGCGGACTTTTGGATTTTCTCTACGCGGTGGTAGAGATGTTGATGGAAATGGATATCCTGGTTAGAAATAATGAAAAGAAGACTTGAATTAATTTTTTGTTTAAGATATAGCTATTGGGGCATTTAAAAGTAACCAGGCAGCAGTTCTTCGAAGTCGTCCAGTAATCCAAGTAGTTGGTTCTGTTCGAACTACAAGGAAAACAATTAATTTGGATGAGAAGCAGTGTGTGACAGAGTTTGGGAAAATGCCTTGGTTTTGAATTAAATTCTCCTTTAAAACTTTAAAATCATTTTTTAGTGATCGTCTAAGACTTTGCCTTAAATATACAGGCAAATTAGCAGGTGCTGATCATCAACAAATTGCTCTCAAAGTAGAAATCCACCTTGATGCCCTCAAAAAAGGACTTTCCTCTCGAGCATTTTTCTCTCGTGCTGAATTGGAAAAGCGGAGAGATTCTAATATTCGGGTACATCCA